CTCCAATATTATTTTGTAACAGTTTTAAACACTTGCTTTTCATAGTCATCAGGGAAATGCAAATGAAAACTACAATAGGATGCACTGTATACCACTAGAATAGCTAAAATTAAAATGTTTGATCACAGTTTTCAACTATTCCATATCAAAGTTGTCCTCATGTTAATAAACTATGGTTTATTTCCCTTCCTTTTTCTCTAATAGCATCTACATTATCAGTTCCCCACTAAGCCCTTTCTTCTTTTGTATTGATCATTTTTATTTGAGATGGGGATTTCTAAATCATTCATTTTTAAGAATTTCCTGTAAGTGAGAAATGACCAGGATAGTCATCTAGGCTAAGTGATTTTGATACTTTTTTCTAAAGCAGTATCTCTATTTTCTGTAGTCACAAAATTAACTGGCTTCCTCCAATCTAGGTTGCCTTCATGATTCTTTATGAGGGCTTGCCATTTTGCATTTATGTACCTAAAGTTTCCAAAAGGACCTTCTGTTAGCATAGCCCTATTACTGAAACCTCATTAGCAGACAAATGATATGATTTTTGCACTTAAGAAGTATTCCTCACTTTTAGGAAGTAGACATTTTAGCATGTGTGCTTTATGACACATACTCTATTATTACTGGATTTTTTTCTCCTCATTCTCTTCCTTTAAGTATCCTAGATGATAACTGTTTGGAGCATCTGACGTCATAGGCTTTAATTCAGAAAGCCACAACAGTGCTGCAGATGTTTCTGAGAACAGGATTTGCAAAAGTGGTAGGTGTCAGAAATCAATAGTAAATATTCACTCTCAAAAGGATGAGTCCCCATTATCAGTGAGAACTTCTGTGATCAAAGAGGGTTAGTGCAACGAGAGGGTTGAAGTTAGAAGTAGAATACGTTTGGATGAGGAGTCACACAGAGGTGGCAGATTCAAGAAAATAGAACTAATGGCATTTTTCATAAGGCTATAATAACTTTAAATTTTGTATGGAAACATAAAAGACCCCAAATAGTCAAAACAATCTAGAGAAAGAAGAACAGAGCTGGGAGAATCATACTCCCTGCCATCAGACTATACCACAAAGCCACAGTAATCAAAACAGTATGGCACTGACACAAAAGCAGATACATTAATCAATGGAACAGGAAAGAAAGCCCAGAAATAAACCCATGTACTTATGATTAATTAATCTAAGACAAAGGGGGCAAGAATATACAATGGAGAAAAGATAGTCTCTTCAATAAGTGGTGCTAGGAAAACTAGACAGACACATATAAAAGAATGAAATGAAAGTATTCTCTAACACCATATGCAAAAAATAACTCAACATGGATTAAAGACCTAAATGTAAGAGCAGATACTATAAAACTCCTTGAGGAATACATAGGCAGAACACTCTGTGACAGAAATCATAGCAATATTTTTTTTGGATCCCTCTCCCAAAGCAAAGGAAACAAAAGAACAAATAAACAAATGGGACCTAATTAAACTTAAAATCTTTTGCACAGCAAAGGGAACAATCAACAAAACAAAAAGAGAGTCTACTGAATGGGAGAAAATATTTGCAAATGACATGACTAATAAGGGGTTAATATTCAACATATATAAATAGCTCATACAACTCAACATCAAAAAAACAAACAATCCATTTAAAAGATGGACAGAAGAACTGAATACATATTTTTCAAAGAGGAAATGCAGGTGGTCAAAAGGCACATAAAAAGATGCTCAACATCACTAATCATCACAGAAATGCAAATCAAAACCACAATGTGAATATCACCTCACAGTGGTCAGAATGGTTATCATCAAAAAGAACACAAATAGGAGACTTCCTTGGCAGTCTGTTGGTTAAGATTCCATACTTCCAGTTCAGGGGCCTCAGCTTCCATCTTTGGGGGGGGAACTAAGATCCTACATGCCATGAAGTGGGACGTAAAAAAAATAAATAAATATAAAAAGAACAATCCAAAGTCACATTTTAAAAAAAGAGCAGAAATAAATGTTGGTGAGGATGTGTAGAAAAGCGAACTCTCCTAAACTGCTAATGGGAATGTAAACTGGTGCAGCCACTGTGGAAAGCAATATGGAGACTTCCCAAAAAACTAAAAACAGAAATACCACATGGCCCAGCAATTTCATTCCTAGGTAAATTTTGAAAAGAGCAAAAACACTAATCCCCAAAGATACATGTACCCCGACATTCACAGCAGCATCAGTTACAATTGCCAAAGTGTGGAAGCAACCTAAGAATCCATCAACAGATGAAAGGATAAAGAAGATGTAGTATGTGTATACAATAGAATATTGCTTAGCCACAAAAGAGAATGACATTTTTGTTACAACTGGAGAAGGTTCTATCTAGTATTTAGAGGTCAGGGATGCTCCTAGACACCTTACAATGTGAAGGAATACTCCTTATAACAATGGGTCATTAGCCTCAAAATATTAATAAGTACTGAGGTTGAGGGTTTCTTTGGTGGCTCAGTGGTAAAGAATCTGCCTGCCAATGCAGGAGACATGGTTCAATCCCTTTTCTAGGAGGATCTCACATGCCATGGAGCAACTAAGCCCTTGTGCCGTAACTATTGATCCTGAGCTCTAGAGCCTGGCACTCGAAACTATTAGGTCCATGTGCTGCAATTATTGAAGCCCGTGTACCTTAGAGCCTGTGTTCCACAACAAGAGGAAGCGCCAAATCACAGTGAGAAGCCTGTGCACCACAACCAGAGAGGAGCCCCCCACTCGCCACAACTAGAGAAAAGCCCGCTCAGCAGTGAGGACCCAGCACAGCCAAAAATAAATAAATAAAAATAAAATTGTAAAAAAAATTAGTCCCAGGGATGTAATATATAGAATGGGGAATATCATCAGTTAAAAAAAAAAATAGTACTGAGGTTGAGAAATGTTGTTTGAGAATGTTCAGAACACAAGTAGTGCTGAGGATAATGTGGTCTTGTCTTATTCTCAATTTAATGTGAATTTCTATCATTCACTAATAAGTATAAAATTAATATAAATTAGTAATTGTAGAAGCGAAAACTTTATTCAAGAAGGCTTTGTACACTAGTATTTCTCCAGTGGTGACAAGCTTGCCATGGCCATGATTTTCAAGATGTGTGACTTGTAGAAAAGGTAGGAAAAATCCACAATGTGGTTGACCATTCCCTGGGGGCATACCCTTTCCCATTAGGTTTGCTCAAGCATAGCACACATATATTAATATCAGCCAGTTTACTCTGAATCTGCCCGTAGAAGCCCATGCCCTTACATTTTGCTGTTGAAGCAGTGATATTGTTCACAGTAAAGGTCTTTGGGCTAAAAGCTTCTGATAAGTTTAGTGTATACCTGAATTGGTCTATTCTATCCTAGGTCTATTAATTTCCCCCTCCAGTGTTTGGAAGATGTTTTTCTTATTTCTGCTTCTAATATTGGTGAAAAAGCTGTTATTAATACATCAGTTTTCCTTGAATGATGACTTAATGGCAAACTTTTTCATCCTTGATGCTTTAAAATTTCACTATAATAGATCTCTTGAATTCCTTCCTCTTGAAACTCTAATTAGATCTTTTGTTGCAACTCCATGTTTTAACTTTTAAAGACCATTTCTTTATTCTTTTGCCAGAGAACTTCTTAGCTTACTTCCAGATCACTTGTTTGGTTAGCTGTGTTTATTTGAATATTCAGCCCATTTGTTAACTTCAGTTTTTCCAAGATATATAGTTGGTTCTTTCTCATGATCACTTATCCTTGTTTCAAACAAGATAATTCTAAGATTAAACGTTTTAAGACTCTGGCTTAATTTCACTGATTTGTTTTCTTACTGTCAGTACTTCTGATACGTACTGGCTTTCCACGTGTTTAAGCAGTGGCACTATTTATTGTACAAATAACAGAATACATAATCTGAGCAGGTACTGTTTTTAGACACTTTATATAATCCTTTAATCCTTTTATTTGGACACGACTAACCAAATAAACACAGCACAGCACAATCCTTTTATTAACTTTATGAACTAAGTAATAGTAATCCCACTTTACAGATGATTAAATTGCATCAATGAGTAAGGCAAGTAAAAACTTATTCAAAGCCACTGAGTTAGTTTTCAAGTCAGGACACAGTCCCATAGAGCAGTGGTCTCCCATCTTCTGGCACCAGTGACCGGTTTCAAGGAAGATATTTTTCTACCAACCAGGAGTTGGGAATGGTTTCAGGATGACTCAAGTACATTTATTGCACACTTTATTTCTATTATTATATCAACTCCGCCTCAGTTCATCAGACATTAGGTCCCAGAGTTTGGGCACCTGTTATAGACCCCTCCTTTACCTAGGTGGTACTACCCACCTGAGGCCCTTGGGTGTGATCCAAGATTGCATGCTCATTCTTCGCTCCTGAAAGCAATTCCCCCAGTAGCTGCTGGTTAGCCCACAGTGGAGCGGGTAGGGCCATCCTAACACTTGTCTGTCGTGTCTTAGTTACCTGTGTCCCCGTTCTCTACGCCTGCCTCCAGCACTGGAAGGGCATGTGGGTTGTAGCTGCCTATTCACTGTATATCTTTCAAGTGAAGTCCCCTTTTCTAGACCAAGAGTTCTTGTTTAAGTTTAGCTTTGCATTTATTTTGTAAATTTAATATAATTTAAGTGGAGAAAGAAATGGCAACCCACTCCAGTATTCTCGCCTAGAGAATCCTGTGGACAGAGGAGTCTAGTGGGCAGCTGTCCATAGGGTCACACAGAGTTGGACACGACTGAGGCGACTTAGCAGCAGCAGCAATATATTAAGTTGTGGGGAGGAGAATTAGCAAGACATTAGGTTTCGCTACTTAATTTCATCTGTATCCACTTGGACTAATTGAATTTGCTAGAACCTGACTCTACATCTGGGTGTTGAGGGAATTTTTTTTTTTTTTTTTAAGTCTAATGCATCCACGGTACCTCAGGAAGCTTTCAAACTCCCATTTAATGAACCTAACTGTTCTTATGCTCCAATAGCGATCTCTCCACACATAGTCATAATGCAAAATGCATTTATTTGCATGTACAACAAGGAGGATTAGGATCCGAGATGAAAAGAAAAGCATACTTCTGTCAAATGGAGATCAGGATTCTTAAGTGGCTGGCTTTGGGATCTTCTGGGCAGGAGGACTTGGAGAGTTGCCGGCAGATTCTGTCTCTTGACCTGATGCTCCAGATGGTCCGGCAGCATTTTCAGGCTGTCCTTCACTCTGGGCTGACGTTTCCAACTCTTTCTGATACTTAAGCTGGTATTCCAGATAGCTTATGTTCCTGGTCTGTTCATCCAGGAACTTCTTCATGAAGCGTAAGAGCTACAGAAATAAAAACAAGAAAAAATTAATTAAGGACCTTGTCTGTAGCAGGAGACAATCTAATCTCCTACCCAAATTATAGTTCATGGGCCAGCAGTTTCTAGGAGCTTGTCAGAAATACAGAATCTCAAATCTCTTCCACGCCTACTAAATCAAAATCTGTTTTAAGAAGGGACTAGATGATTTACATGCATAATGAAGTTCAAAGGCATCGATCTCTGACATTCAAGACCTCCAGATGAATACAAACATCCACTTTTTAAAGATTTATTAGAGTATAGTTGGTTTCAATGTTATCTTTTCTTAAAATTATTTATTTTAATTGGAGGATAATTACTTTGCAATATTGTGATGGTTTTTGTCATACATCAACATGAATTTGCCACAGGTATACATGTGTCCCCCTCCATCCTGAACCCCCCTCCCACCAAACATCCACTTTCAATGAGTGTTAAGGCATCTCATCAAAAGCACAGATTAATTTAATAAGCTACTACTCTAATGGTTTTTCACCCTATCTGAATCATAGGTTAAGTGTCAAGTAAGCTCCCAGATCTCATTCCCAAGCACTGAAATTTTAGGGTTCTGGTGTAAGGCTCAGGCATTTGATAGTTTTCAGGGTCCTACAGTGAGTCCAATATGCAGCAAGGTTGATAGCTTTCCTACTAGATCATTTTCTTCAACTTCAAGAGAAACTAAGAACTTTGGTGAGAAATTTTATCACTGCAATAGAGTGTTCACCATTAACCAAAGAACACTTCAGAGAAGTCTGCAGAATAGGTCACCATTGACATTCACTTTTGTAGGGGTAGTCTAGGATAGCGACTCTCAAGATGGGTTTATTTAAATATTCAGAGTGCAGATTATTCCTGAAAAGTCTTCTCCATCTTGTCTCGAGTTGCCTTTCTCCTTACCAGGGCCCCTGCTCCTCCCACCTCCCAGTTACTCTAAGAAATAAGTTCATATACTCCCTTCAGGGGAAATAAGCACATTAGATGATCCATTGCCTTGGGATCATTTCCTAGAAGCAAGCCATCATCTAGAAGTGAAAGGACCTCTTTGCTACTTACATTGGTTTCTCTATTCCTAGAAGCTGAGGCTTTCAGGTCTTGCAGCAGCGTATTTAACGAATTCTCCAACTGCAGAGCAGACAGTATAGCTTGTTTACCAGTTCCCCAGTTATCTATATCAGGCCTCTGTTGGAGAGAAAGAGGGAGTCACTCTCCTAGCTGAGGCGCAGCTTAGTTACACCCTACTTCCTGGGCAGATTGAAAGGTTTGCAGAGACCAGTAGTTTCCATTCTTTGTGGCATGATGGAATCAGTGGAGCCCCTTAAATACTGGTGTCTGGCTGTCAGCTGCAGACGTTCTGACTTAATTGGTACCGAGGAGCAGGGCTTTTAAAAGCTCTTCAGGTGACGTTAATGTTCTGCAAAGCATGGATACCCCAGCACAGTTACTGCACTCTTCCATTAGCTTTGGAATTTCTCTAGCTTTGGAGAGTAGTTCAGTTCAATTACCACCAGATATTTAGTTGTCTTTAGAGACCTGGAGTTAAAAAGAACCCCTCAGATAAGGAGGGATATTTCCAAATGTAATAGCTTCAACTAAGGTTTAGATTGTTTCTTTAGAGTATATCAAAAACATTAGGAGTAAATCAATTTTAGATTGTTGCTTTTTTCTGTTTTCTGGTTTTAGAACATAAATATGTATGGCTGTGTTAGTCACTCAGTCGTGTCCGACTCTGAGACCCCATGGACTGTAGCCCACCAGGCTCCTTTATCCATTGGATTCTCCAGGCAAGAATACTGGAGTGGGTTGCCAGTCCCTCCTCCAGGGGAATCTTCCCACCCCAGGGATCAAACCCAGGTCTCCTACATTGCAGGCAGATTCTTTACCGTCTGAGCCATGGCGGGAAGCCCTTTTAGAACATAAATACCTATTCTCTATCATTTGGGTGAGTCCCTATTCGTCATGTTTGAGTTGGTAATAGTAATTATTCCTAAGAAAGAGGAAATGAGAGACAAGTATGTAGCAATGGGGCCTACCTGGTGGCTCAGCGTTAAAGACTCTGCCTGCAATGCAGGAGACCCAGGTTCAATCCCTGGATTGGGAAGACCCCCTGGAGGAGAGCATGGCAACCCACTCTTTCACTCTTGCCTAGAGAATCCCATGGACCGAGGAGCCTGGCGGGCTGCAGTCCATGGGGTTGCACAGCTGAGGCAACTGGGGCAGCAGTAGCATGCAGCAATTAGAATGTACAACTCTACAAATGTAGAGTCGGTTCCAGTGGGAAAAAAGTTTATTTTATTAAATACATTGACGAGGCAGCTGTGTTAGATACCTGAGCGTGTATCTGAGTTAAAGAGCCAACATAGGATACAAACCACTCTAGAAGAGAACAGCAGATCTTCTCAAACTATACAGAGGATTAGAATCATCTGGAGAGCTTGTTAAGCTCTTTAGCTCCTTGGGCCCCACCCTTAGAGAGGGTGACTCAGTTTCTTAGAGTGGGCCCCATGAATTTGCATTTCTAATGAGGTCCCAGGTGATGCTGGTGCTGCTGGTCTAGAGGTCACACTTTGTATCACTCTTTCAGAAAAGAAAAACTAAGATTTAATGACTGAAATTTACTTAAAATGATACGAAGAGGTTACAGACAAGATACATGCTTACCCTCAGTCAGCTGCTATAATCCCATGTAGGAACATGAGTAATGGAACAAGTCAGAAAACAACTAATAACTTAGTTTTCTAAACCCAGCAAAGGCCCTATAGAGATCATCATAACAGAGCTACATCGTCACCTTAATCACCGGAAGGCAGATTTTACACTTATATTTTCTTAGATATTTTATGAACTGCTTTGCATGCTCCCTCTTCACATCAGCTTGGTCTTGGAAGAATGAATGAAACATAGGCGCTTCTGAATCTTCAATGTAATAACAGGCCTGGAGCAGGGATAAGAATGGGGAGAGACTGCAGGTGAGAGGAGTTGATGTTTAGGGCAGGAATCTCACACAAACTCACTTTATCTCTACGGCTGTCCAAAAGAGGCCTTCTTTATTCATTACAGGGTTCTCAGTCTGCTCTTTGACTTCCAGAAGGCCCCAACTGCCTTCTTAAACCCAGGCTACCTCAAAGAGAAGTGACCCAGGTTTTAACATGCTGGTGCCTAGCATTTGGCCATTAGACCTCTTTAAGGGTCAGGTTTATGAACCCTATATGCTAGCACTATAACCAGTATTTATGTTGACAACTGGCAGAAGTCCAGCATAAAGTAAGTGACATTCAAAAGTCAATCTTGGGACTTCTCTGATGGTCCAGTGGTTAAGAATCTGTCCTACAAGGCAAAGGAAAATGGTTTGATTCCTGGTCCAGGAAGATCCCACATACGGTGGGGCAACTAAGCCTGTGTGCCACAACTACTGAAGCCCAAGTGCCCTAGAGCCTGTGCTCTGCAATAGGAGAAGCCCCCGCAATGAGAAGCCCATGCACCGCAACTAGAGTAGTTCCCACCCACCATAACTAGAGAAAGCATACACACAGCCACGAAGACCCAGTGCAGCCAATAAGTCAATAAACTTAAGAAAATGTTTAAAACCATTGAACTCTACAAAAGTCAAACTATTTCATTAACCCTACCATATCAACACTTGCTCTAAACTAGCAGATGGGTGAAAAAATTATTTATAACAGTGTCTGATGCCTGCACAAGTTTTGGGAATACTCTGGAAAAGAATTATTCTCCCAACTATTCACCCATAGTTTGCAATCACAGCTCTAAATCACTGGGCCTCAGAGCAGCAAAATCCCAGCCACTAAATTGTTGTTCCCTCTGGTATCAAACAACAAACATGGCCACAACAAAAATGAGGAAGGCTTTGTAAGATATATTATCTGGACCAGATCTGAAACCTTCCTGACAGTGACTCCAGGACACATACTAACCATAGATAAATAAGCATCACTGACATGCAGCTCGTAAGATGCTACTTGATTGAGAGCATCCCTACATTCTTCAGAAAGAAGGCCCTTTGCCTGGGTTGCCATCTCAGCTTTAGGAAAAACAAGGCATAAAAAGTGCTACCCGCCAAGGTAAGAGACTTCTTAAATACTAACAGGCTTAAATATATATATATGTAGCCAGCCCACTTCTATTCAGCTGAAAACAAGATGATATGCTATTCAGCTGAGATTAACAGCTACTAACCTACCAATGAGGACATTGTTTTGCATGAAAGAACCAATCTGATAGAGAAAAAGGTGGGAAAAGCTAAGTCCTCCTAACTATCCCAGCCAGTGTTTTGTATTTGCCCTCATGTTCTCTGACTATGATTTGAGAAGGCTGATTTAAACACTTCCTGAATGGGGAAGCATTAACAGAATAGACTCATTACCTTTAACTGTTTCCTTTTTTTCAAAAAAAGGCATCATGCTTGGTCCTATGGAGAATCTAAGAAAACTGACTAAAATACACTTTTGACCTATAAGGGACACATTCCCTTCTCACAAGACCTCAACATGCACAATTTTAAACCAGGGTATGATGGGAGTTCTGACTTGTCAGAGTTTCCCAGGTGGCTCAAGTGGTAAAGAATCTGCTTGCCAACTCAGGAGATGCATGAGACGCGGGTTCAATCCCTAGGTCAGGAAGATCCCCTGGAGGAGGAAATGGCAACCCATTCCAGCATTCTTGCCTGGAAAATTCCACAGACAGAGAACCAATCTGGTGAGCTACAGTCCATGGAGTTGCAAAGAGTCAGACATGACTGAACACACACAAGCTTCTGGATTGTTAAAGGCATATTTATGGGAGGGGATTACAGCCGATTACATTGATAAACTGGCATCTGAAATTGGCCGTGGAGCGTGGGTAAGAATGTAGAGAGAGAACTGGAAGAGGGTATTTCGCCTGGAGGAAGGGCACAGACAGGCTGTAGGGTCAAGGTATAAGGCTGGTTTCTCCAAGCGACAGTGACTGTTCCATGTGGGAACCTTTTGGTTCTTTCTCCACTAGGAAATAATAGGTGCCAAATCAATATTTGTTACAAAAAAAATTATTTTACATGTATAAGATCTCCCGTAGTTTGGTGGATTCTTAGTTTGAGCCTAAGTCACGCCTTGTGGCAATGAAGTAGAAGTGACAGGTCACCAAAAGTCTCTCTCGGTGAGGCAGTGAGGCGCGAGGGGCTCCTGAGGGGGAGTGCATCCTAAGAGAAGGGGCCACCTAGTCTACGCTTGGCCCAGTCATAAAGACAAGGTCTTCAAACAGAAGAAATCATTATAAAAGGGCCTATTATTTGCTACTTTTGTTTTCTGACCCAACACTGCCCTTGTCCCAAATGAATTCGTCGTAGCCTCAGAACGTGTCTTGAGTAGCTGTTCCTCAGACCATCACTTGTATATGAATCACCTGAGACTCTTCTTAAAAGGCAGATTCTGATACACAGCGCCTGAGAGTCTGCATTTCTAACAATTCTGCCCAATGATACTGGTCCATGGACCACATTTTGAGTAGAAAGTATTCCAAGACATGGGACACGCTGGGGAACCTCCAATAGGAGAGGAGAAGGGGACATTCTGTGCTTCCTATGTCTAAAAAATTTATTTATATTATTTTAAAAAATTGTTTTTAATTTATTGATGATTGCTTTATAATACTATAATACTAGTTTTGTTTCTGTCACACATCAACATAAATAGGTCTGAATTGAGGCACTGGGGATCTTCATTGTGGCACTCAGGGCTTAGCCACCCTGCAGCATGCGGGATCTTAGTTCCCTGACCTGGGACTGAACCCATGTCCCCTGCATTGGAAGGCAGATTCTTGACCACCAGGGGAGTGCAGTCTATGCTTCAGCACACACCACAGCACTGCTTTGGCATTTCCAGGATGTCTGTGGCAGCATCCTGGGGAAGGCAGTATCGCCAGGAAACTCAGCAACATCTAGCCCATGATGGTTAGAGCTGAGATGAGGAAAGAAAACTGGTGACTAGACAGGTAACTGGTTTTACTTATAGCACAAGTGAAACATTATCTGAAGTCTCAGAAAAATTTGGAGGACCTTTTCAGGAGATTAGGGTCCTATGTGAGAAGTGAGGACAGTTCAGTTCAGTTCAGTCGCACAGTCGTGTCTAACTCTTTGAGACCCTATAGACTGCAGCATGCCAGGCCTCCCTGTCCATCACCAACTCCTGGAGCTTACTCAAACTCATGCCCATCTAGTCGGTGATGCCATCCAACCATCTCATCCTCTGTTGTCCCCTTCTCCTCCCTTCAATCTTTCCCAGCATCAGGGTCTTTTCAAAAGAGTCAGTTCTTCAAATCAAGTGGCCAAGTATTGGAGTTGAAGCTTCAGCATCAGTCCTTCCAATGAATATTCAGGACTGATTTCCTTTAGGATGGACTGGTTGGATCTCTTTGCAGTCCAAGGGACTCTCAAGAGTCTTCCCCAACACCATAGTTCAAAAGCATTAATTCTTCAGCGCTCAGCTTTCTTTATAGTCCAGCTCTCATATCCATACATGACTACTGGAAAAACTATAGCTTTGACTAGACAGAAATTTTTTGGCAAAGTGATGTCTCTGCTTTTTAATATGCTGTTTAGGTTGGTCATAGCTTTTCTTCCAAGGAGCAAGTGTCTTTTAATTTCATGGCTGCAACCACCATCTTCAGTGATTTGGGAGCCCCCCCAAATAAAGTCTCTCACTGTTCCCACTGTTTCCCCATCTATTTGCCATGAAGTGATGGGACTAGATGCCATGATTTTAGTTTTCTGAATGTTGAGTTTTAAGCCACCTTTTTCACTCTCCTCTTCCACATTCATCAAGAGGCTCTTTAGTTCTTCACTTTCTGCCATAAGGGTGGTGTCATCTGCATATCTGAGGTTATTGATATTTCTCCCAGCAATCTTGATTCCAGCTTGTGCTTCTTCCAGCCCAGNGATTATCTGGGTCATGAAGATCTTTTTTATATAGTTCTTCTGTGTATTCTTGCCACCTCTTCTTAATATCTTCTGCTTCTGTTAGGTCCATACCATTTCTGTCCTTTATTGTGCCCATCTTCACATGAAATGTTCCCTTGGTATCTCTAATTTTCTTGAAGAGATCTCTAGTCTTTCCTATTCTATTGTTTTCCTCTATTTCTTTGCATTGATCTCTGAGGAAGGCTTTCTTATATCTCCTTGCTATGCTTTGGAACTCTGCATTCAAATGGGTATATCTTTCCTTTCTCCTTTGCTTTTCACTTCTCTTCCTTTCACAGCTATTTGTGAGGCCTCCTCAGACAGCCATTTTGCTTTTTTGCATTTCTTTTTCTTGGGGATGGCCCTGATCCCTGCCTCCTGTACAATGTCATGAACCTCTGTTCATGACAAGTGTCAATAAAATCTGGATTATTACTGTTAATATGACTCCATCTACAAAGTGGTAAATCTGGAAGATAATGGTTTTACCTAGTGGGAGATGATAATGAGAGTTTGAATATTTCAGGATAATCTATAAGATATCTTCATGTAAATATTCCATGATTCTACCTTTCCATCTGGGCCAAAAACACAGAACTGTGTACATGTGAAGAAAATGTTCCTATTCCTGTGGGTTAAATATTATTAAGAGATATTTCTCTCTCAATCCCAAACTCCCAATGTATCCCTCACCGCACCTCATTCTCCCTCTGGTAACCATACATTTGTTTTCTAAGTCTGTGAGCCTACTTCTGTTTTGTAAATACAAGTTCATTTGTATTATTTTGTTTAGATTCTGCATAAACGTGGTATCATATGATGTTTGTCTTTCTCTGACTTACTTCACTTAGTATGATAATTTCTAAGTCCATTCGTGTTGCTGCAAATAGCATTATTTCATTCTTTTTAATGGCTGAGTAATATTCCATTATATATATACACCACATTGTATTTATCCATTCTTCTATTGATGAACATTTAGGTTGCTTACATGTGTTGACTGTTGTAAACAGCGCTGCGACAAACATTGGTGTGACACACGACTATATTTATTTTTTTATTTTTTTTACACTACTATATTTAAAATAGACAACCAGCAGGGACCCACTGTATAGCACAGGGAACTCTACTCAATATTCTATAATAACCTAAATGGGAAAGGAATTTGAAAAAAGAATAAACACATGTATAGCTGGTAAAGAATCCGCCTGCAATGCAGGAGACCCTGGTTTGATTCCTGGGTCAGGAAGATCCCCTGGAGAAGGGATAGACTACCCACTCCAATATTCTTGGGCTTCCCTGGTGCCTCAGCTGGTAAAGAATCTGCCTGCAATGCGGGAGAATTAGGTTCAATCCCTGGTTTAGGACGATCCCTGGAGAAGGGAAAGGCTACCCACTCCAGTATTCTGGCCTGGAGAATTCCATGGACTGTATAGTCCATGGGGTCACAAAGAGTCAGATATGATAGTGATTTTCACTTTCATATATATATAAACCTGAATCATTTTGCTGTGCATTTGAAACTAACAACATTGTTAATCAACTATACTTCAATATAAAATATAAATAAATAAACTATGACACAAAGGAACTTACACATAAGCAGAAGCAGACTCACAGGACACAGAGAACAGATTCGTGATTGCCAAAAAGGAGGGAGGCTGGGGAAAAATGCACTGGGAGTTTGGGATAAACAAATGCAAACTATCACATGCTGTATAACTGAATTGTTTGCTCTATACCAGAAACTAACACAGCTTTGTAAGTCAGCCATACTTCAATAAGACAAATTAAAATTTTAAAACCAACTATTGCTATCTAATCACTTAAAAACAACCTCATCAATGTGTAGAAAAAACAAGAGGAAAAAAACACATCTTCAAAAACAACTGAGTCAGTGTAGTAGCTTTATAGGTAATTTTTTTCTTTTTTCTGTAGTTTTTCAACTTTTATAATTATATATATATATTTCATTTTGAAAAAGGAAGCTAACACATACCTTTCTGGAGAATTAGCACAATGTATTTTCCTAACTGGGCTTCCCAGGTGGCGCTCGTGGTGAAGAACCCACCTGCCAATGCAGGAGACATAAGAGGTGAATGTTCAATCTGGGTCAGGAAGATCCCCTGGAGTAGGAAATGGCAACCCATTCCAGAATTTCTTGCCTGGAAAATTCTGTGGACAGAGGAGCCTTGTGGGCTACAGTCCATAGAGTTGCAAAGAGTCAGACATGACTGAAGCGACTTAGCACTCACATTTATTTTCCTAATTGAAGCTCCATATATGTCTTTATGAATGTATTTTTTCCTAATTAAAAAAGTAATGCATTCTCATTACTAAAAAGTATTCCAAAATTACAGAAATACATAATGTAGAATGTGAAAGCCCAGGGGTAACACTGAAATTTCAATACCTATTTTAAAATCTAATTTGATCCATAATACCACTATTAAATTTTGTTAATCTAATGAACTGACTTCTGAATTATTGGATACAATCAGACTGGTACAGGCACCCTTTCCTCTGGGATGTATTGAAAACAAAAATAGTTTTAAAAAAGTTACACAATGCCTCTCAAAAATGTTTTGACCTAATCTAGACTTTCTGTCCTAATCTTATCAACTCTCTAATGATTCAGGAAAAAACAAGCAGTGCTCTTCTGAATTTAATTAAAACTAAGAAATTCTTATTTTTAAACATAAAATATCTTTAGTAGAGCATCTATTATCATCTATATCCTGTTCTTTATGCACATTTCCCTTATTAGTTTATAAGCTTCATGAGGAAGCTTAGTCATCTTTGCATACCTCCCAGAGCTCATAGTATGGTGTCTTGTCCATAGAAAGCACTCAGTAAATTACACTGAGCAATTTCAAAGTAAAAAGGAACCTAAAAATTTAAAGTCATTTGTTGTCGAGGAGGAAAGAATAGCAAGAGCCAAATGAATACTTTGCATTTCGGAAAAGCAGGTTAAAAGTTCCCCAAAATTGTGGGGGAGGGTGAAAGCAGGGAATTCCTTGCATCTCTAAAATGAGTCTTAGGGACGTCCCTGGTGGTCTAGTAGCTAAGACTTCATGCTTCCAATGAAGGTTTGATCCCTGGTCAGGGAAATAGATCCCACAAGCCACAACTAAAAAAGATTCTGTGACTCAATGTAGATCGAAGAACCCACGTGCTACAGCTAAGAGAAAATAAGTAAATAAAAATAAATATTAAACAATGAGCCTTGAAAAGACCACACTTATTGTGGTCCTGGTACTGAGTGGGTCCTTAAAATTTTTTTATTAATGAAAGACTGAGAAGTAATTTATCAAGATAGCTCAAGAGGAAACCTTAAAAGTTAAGATGTCACAAGTGACTCTGATGAAAATAGAGAGATGACATCTCCAGAAATCCATGTGCCTGCACATATGTCCTGCCGCCTCTACTTCTGGCCTTAGAATGGCTATCTTATCTGCCAGAACGTGTTTTCTGACTTTCACAGGCTGGGTTTGGTATCCCCACCTTCATGCTCGTTGGTCGTAGTCATTCCTTCCACATCTTTGTAACTTCTTCCTTATCTGTATGAATTCTCTACTAATTCATAAGCTCTTTGAAGGTGCTGCTGGGTCATGACTTGGTATTACCATCATCTACCATAGACCTGGACGTTGCAGGTCGTCAATAGACATTCATCCACTAAGAGTAAATGAGTAAATGGTCAAACATTGGGAGGGCAGAAACAGACAGATGGAAGACAAATATATAGGGGGAATGAAAATGTAAAAGAAATATAAACAGGCAATATAAACTTTCTTATGTATTCATATGTTTAAAGCTAACAGCAACAAAGATTTGAGGCAGGAAGTACATGGCAGGGTTAGGAGATGGAGATGTTTTTGGCCAAAAAGAACAAAGTAGAGAAATTCCCTGGTGGTCCAGTGGTTAAAAATCTGCCTGCCAGTTCAGGGGACATGGCTTTGATACCTGGTGCAGGAAGATTCTGCATGCCTCAGGACAGCTAAGCCCGTGCACCACAACTACTGAAGCCCGTGCATCTGGAGCCCCTGCAACGAGAAGTCCAAGCTCCACAACTAGAGAGGAGCCCCTGCCTGCCGAAACTAGAGAAAGTCTGCGCACAACAATGAAGACCCAGAACAGCCAAAAATAAATAAAGTTAAATTTAAAAAAAGAACAAAGTAGAGAGAAAGAGACACACTAATGGGACAAAAATTGAAGTTAGACAAAGACAGAGAGAAAGCAGAATAACTGAAGTGGTATATTAAAGAGAAACATGTAGATAAACCAAATCTCAAATATTAATAGAGAAATATTAGTAGTAGGGAAGTAGGAAGTAGTGTGTGTGTGTGTGTTAGTCACTGAGTTGTGTCCAACTCTTTGTGACCGCATAGACTATAGCCTACCAGACTGCTCTGTCCATGGGATTCTCCAGGCAAGAATACTGAAGGAATTGCCGTTCCTTTCTCCAGGGGATCTTCTCAACCCAGGGATCAAACCCAAGTCTGCTGCATCGCAGGCAGATATTTTTACTGTCTGAGCCACCCAAGAAGCCTGGAAGAAGTCCAGATAGAGTAGTAGGGAATAAGGGTACCTAGATTATTTAAATCTAGGTAGGACACGTCCAGGTCCAGATGAACTTTATTCTTTGGTTGGAATAACGACTTCTGTAAGTGACTATAGGAATTACTTTGGTAATGTTTAAAGAATACTGGAGAGAAACGCCAGAATACAACTAAAGACGTTTATATCTTGGTGCAGAAGATGTAGAAATATGTACCAGATGATAGTACATGTAGTTACACTAGCAGGCATCTGAAAATCAAAGGTAGCCGTTTATTGGATTGGGAACACCTTAGCACAAGGCTCTGGTGACATGTTACCAGGCATTACAGTCTACTTTATCTTCTTTTTAATCTATATTTCTTAAGTCAATACTTTGAATGAATAGAGTTTTATTGTTCATTGTTGCTGCTCAGTCACTCAGTCGTGTCTGACTCTTTGCAACCCCATGGACTGTAGCATGCCAGGCTTCCCTGTCCTTCGCTGTCTTCCAGCGTTTGCTCAAATTCACGTCCATTGAGTCAGTTACGCTATCTAGCCATTTTGTCCTCTGCCACTTCTTTCTCCTGTTGCCTTTGATCTTTCCCAGCATCAGGGTCTTTTCCAGTGAGTTGGCTCTTTCCATCAGATGGCCAAAGTATCGGAGCTTCAGCTTAAGCATCAGTCCTTTCAATGAATGTTCAGGGTTGATTTTCTTTAGGATTCATTGGTTTGATCTCCTTTCAATCCAAGGGACTCTCAAGAGTCTTCTCCAGCACTGCAATTCCAAAGCATCAGTTCTGTGGTGCTCACCGTTATGATCCAGCTCTCACATCTGTATATGACAGTGAAAATCCATTGCTTTGACTAGATAGATCTTTGTTAGCAAAGTGATGTCTCTGCTTTTTAACATGCTGCCTAGGTTTGTCATAGCTTTCCTTCCAAGGAACAAGTGTCTTTTAATTACATGGCTGCAGTCACTGCAGTGAATTTTGAGTTCAAGAGAATAAAATATGTCACCGCTTCTAGTTTCCCCCTTTTTATTTGCCATGAAGTGATAAGACTGGATGCCACGATCTTAGTTTTTAAAAAAAATTTTTTATGACTGAATAAAAAAACACTGTACATGAACTTCTAGGGAAAATGTAAATCATTTATTTTAATAGGCTCAAGGAAATAATAATAAGCAGGCATTATGATTTGATATGAAAATGGATATGCACATATAGTTCATAGAAAGTAAAATGTACAACGAATAGTAATATATTATTATTTTAGACTGTGTATTTTCTTTGGAGACATTATCACAAGCACCAAAACCATGGGAGTTTGGGATGGACATGTACACACTGCTATATTTAAAATGGATAACCAACAAGGACCTACTGTATAGCACAGGGAACTCTACTCAATATTTTGTAACAACGTGAATGGGAAAAGAATTTGAAAAAGAATATATATATATGTATAAGTTAATCACTTTACTATATACTTGAAACTAACACGACATTGTTGATCTACACCAATATAAAATAAAAAAATAAATAAAGTCCTTGTAACAGTCACTTCCATAGCTTCATTTGACCAATGTTTATTTATGGTTAGTTTAAATGCCCGTTTCATTAAAAAAAATGAATACTATTTTTCAATAATTTCCCTTGATTAACAAAAACATCATCCAACGGAAAAAAAATTGTGATCTCTCAGAAGAGACTTTATTGTACAAAATTATACTGTAATCACTTTTTCTTAAAATGGGAGCACATTGTTTCATGAACTTTTCTACACTGGTTTTATTTATTTATTTATTTATTTTTTATTAAATAACTCTTTATTCTTTTCTCCTTTACATTACCAACAGTAGCCCAGTGTTAAGCACTTTAGAAAACCTGAAGAAATTTTTAAAAAATCTTGGTTTATGCACACATGTATAAAAATATTCAGATAAGCAAATATCTGCTCATTACATCACCCAGCTTTTAAGAGTGCCAAAAATAAATAAATAAAACATTTGCATATCAAAAGAGAGGGCTCGGTGGTTTTGCTAAAATTCATCTTAACAATTTTAGCTAACTAACACGTGCTGATGAAATTCAAGTTAAAGGTATAGCCAGTTAATATCACAGAAAACACCGTGTGGTGAGTAAGGAGTATTCCTTAAACAGAANACACACACACACACATCATCACCATCAGCAGTAACGAAAATTTTCCAAGTAATGATCTGTAGTCTGGACAATTCTTGGTCAACATCTTAAAGTTGTGTGCCAGAACTCTTGAACTGCTGGGGGGAGAATGTTTGGTATTTAGAGTGAAAGTCTTGGCTGTTTCTTAGAGGAACATGTGTTTGGTTTTGATTTCAGTTTAATTTGATTCAGTGGCTAGAAACACAACTGCTGAACCAACAGTCAACACGAACATGTCTTTCAGTTGAGAGAGGGTTGGGATTAGGCTCAGGTCTTGGGAAAAGGGTTATGAGGTGGCTTTCCATGATCTGGGAAGTTCATTGGCAAGGGCTAAAATGCTGGCTGGCAAAGATGGGAACATGATCTTAAACAAACCAGTGGGGAAGAAAAGTATTTGAAAACATTCTTCTGGCCTTTGGTTTTTCCCATCCCCCTTTCTTCTAAGAAATTTAGATGAATGGATAACATTTTTAAACGTATCTTTATTTTTTTAAATAAAAACTTATTTTTTAAATTAAAAAGTAATTTTAATTTTTCTGTGCTTTTATTGTCTTCATTGTTATACTCTGGATCTGAATAGGAGATTTTAAGTGAATAACATTATGAGCTGTTCTGTGTTATGGTTAAGAATGCAAGATTTGCCAAAGGCAGCGTGGGTGTGAATATTATTTTGCCACTTTATTCAATGAAGAGGCACTTTTCCAGGCAGTGGGAATGTAGCAGTCAATAAAACAGACAACAATCCCTGCCATCACAAACCGTGCCTAGTAGCTTTAGGACATTAGCTACACTGTGATTCAATTTCCTTCCCCAGGGATTACAAAGGCATCTTGCTTGCTTGCTAAATCGCTTCAGTCATGTCTGACTCTTTTGCGACACCGTGGACTGTACCCTGCCAGCCTCCTCTGTCCGTGGGATTTTTCCAGGCAAGAATACTGGAGTGGGTTGCCATGCCCTTCTCCAGGGGATCTTCCCAACCCAGGGATTGAACTTGGGTCTCCTGCATTGCAGGCAGATTCTTTACCGTCTAAGCCACCAGGAAACCCATAAAGGCATCTACTTCTGGGCATGTCTAAGGCGTTAACTGAGTTGATTTGCATAAAATGCTTAGAACAGAGTTTAGCACATAGAGAGCATTGAATAAATGTTAGCTATTACATTGAAGACTTTTGTTTTTATTGGTGTTAACTTGTTTTATTGTGAAGCCTAACACACACGACAGATCCCTGGAAGCTCCTGTATCAAGCCTTTTTCTCAGGTTCTGCTTTCAGGGGAACCCAAAGTTTGACACAGGCCTTCATTGATGATGTGTGTTGCCCATACCTTGTCCCACTCCGTGGCTTGCATTTTCATTATTTTTAGATCTTGATGAAAAATTCTTAACTTTAATCTAGATCAATTTCTCAATCTTAGGTGTTTTTTTGTGGGTGTGTTCTGGTCATGAAATCCTTCACTACCGCAATATCATGAAGACGTTTTTCTATTTTCTTCCAAAAGTTTAATTTTTCAAACTCTCACATGTAGAGTTATGGCCCATCTGGAATTGATTTTGTATTTGGTGAGTGGTGAAGGAAGTTTTCTTATTTTTTTACAAAGAGTTTCCAGTTGAATGTGGCAGGCAGAATGAGGACCCCACAAAGATGTCCAGGTCCTGATCCCTGGAGCCTCATAATATGTTACTTTCTGCTGCAAAGAAGACCTTGCAGATATGACTCTGGGATGACCAGTTTATCCTGTATTATCTGACTGAGCCCAACCTAACCAAATAGAGCTCTAAAATAGAATCTTTCCAGGCTGCAGTCAAAGGGAAATATAATTAGGGAAGAACAGCCAGAGAGATGCAACACTGTTGATCTTGAAGATTGAGAAAAGGGGCCACGATCCAATGTAGAATAGGGAAGGTGGGTGGTTTTAGGAATCTGGACACGGCAAGGAAATTAATTCCCTCCTAGAGCCTCCAGAAAAGAACGTTTCTGCTGATCATTTACTTTACTCTAATGAGGTTTATTTTGGGCTGCTGACTTAGATAATGGTAAGATAAATTTACACATTGATCCAACACTATTTACTGAAAAGACTGTCTTTAACCCACTTCTCTGTAGCTCCACTTTTGTCATAATTGCGTATCCATCTATTCATTGCCTGTTTCCACATGTTCTCTTCTGTTTT